GGGTTTAGGGATTAGGATCCTAAGTCCTCAACCCTTAAATGCCAGAACCCGAAACCCCTAAACCCCTAAACCCTAAACCCTAAACCCTAAACCCTAAACCCCTAAGGCCCTACAACCCCAAATCTAAACCGGCCCCACCCGCCTCACCAAGGAGCGGGTTGCTAAAGCCAGTGAGGTAGATGGGCCTCCCCCCCGGTAGGGTTTGGGATTTCGCGGTTTCGGGGTTTCGGAGTTTAGGGTTTAGGGGTTTAGGCGTTTAGGAGTTCAGGGTTTAGGGGCTTGGGGTTTAGGGGTTTAGGTTTTAAGGCTTTCCTAAGGCTGTTTGCAAGGGGCTTTGGCTTTTGCTCGGGGACACTGGTCAGATCCTTGGGTTTATTGTGTGTAGGATGTAGGGCTTGGGTTTACATCGGTTTCCCCATGGCCTACAGGTCTAGAAGACTTCAAATCCTGATCCCGATCTGCACATCGAGCTAGAATCTAGAACTGCTCTTCCCTACGACTAGACTCTAAACCCTAAACCCTAAACCCTAAACCCTGAACCGTGAACCCTAAGACTAGACTTTGGAATAGAGCGAGCTGAGCTCGAAGGGACCAAGACTCTTACCCTTTTTTTGCGAACCTCCAAAACGCGCAAGGCCCTACATACGGTTTAGGGTTTAGGGTTTAGGGTTTAGGGCTTAGGGTTTAGGGCTTAGGGTTTAGGGCTTAGGGTTTAGGGTTTAGGGTTACGCAGGTCGTGTTTTAGGGTTTAGGGTAGTGCAGAACACAGGCAAGCTCTTGAAGTGAAAGCCGACGGGAAGGCCAGGCTAAAGCTAAAGACTCGCCACGATACAGGCCCAGAGGACCTGAGTGAATTTAGGGTTTAGGGTTTAGGGTTTAGGGTTTGGGGTTTAGGGTTTAGGGTTTGGGGTTTAGGGTTTAGGGTTTAGGGTTTAGGGTTTAGGGTTAAGGGTTCGGGAATACAGGACCTGACATCGAAACTCCCTGAATCCTATAACCTAGATCCTAGATGCCCTAAATCCTTACTGCTTAACCCAAACACCTGGACCCTACACTCTATATCGTTACCCCTAAGCTCACAGCCACTATCCTTAAACCCTGACAAGCATAGTGCGGCCCTACGGTGAACCCTTACGCAACAAAAAAGCAGGTGAACATGCCACCCCACCCCCCCACCCCGGACCCCAAAACCCTAATGTAGGGGCCTTAATAATTAGAATAGGGCTTTGGGATCCTGTATAGCAGAATTATCATAAGGAACTTCCTTAAGATAATATAGGTAGATCTTGAGGCCCCTATATAAAACCCCGAAACCTTCACCCTAAAATAACCCTAAACCCCAAACCCTAAACCTAGACCCCCGAAGCCCAAACCACGCCTTCCCGTCAACCAGGGCGCATCCACTACCGGGAGGTCCCTAGGCACCGGCCTCCGACAGGGCAGGGCAGTTTCGCCGAGGGGTTTTGGGTTTTGGGGTTTAGGGGTTTAGGTTTTTTTTTTTTAGGGCCCTTTTCCGTCTGCTCACGTCTGAGCTCAAGGGGTTTCGCCGAGGGTTTTGAGTTTAGGGGTTTAGGGGTGTAGGGTTTTGGGGTTTCGCCGAGGGCTTTGAGTTTAGGGGTTTAGGGGTTTAGGGCTTTGGGTTCAGGGTGTAGGGGTTTAGGGCTTACGGTTTAGGGGTGTAGGGGCTTTGGGTTTTGGGGTTTAAATTTAGGGTTTTGGGGTTTAATGGTTTAGGGGTTTAGAGGTATAGGGGTTAAGGGTTTAGGGGTTTAGGGTTTGGGTTTAGGGGTTTAGGGGTTTAGGGCTTTAGGTTTAGGGGTTTAGGGGTTTGGGGCTTGCGGTTTACGGGCTTAGGGGTTTGGGGTTTATGGGTTTGGGGTTTAGGGTTCAGGGTGTAGGGGTTGAGGGTTTTAGGGTTTAGGGGCTTTGGGGGGGTTTTGGGTTTACCTGGACCCGTAAGAACCTCCCTGTTTAGGGTTCCTTATTAATGCCTTCCTTATGTAAGTCCCTAAAGGTAGGTTCTTTCGGGTTTAGGGATTAGGGTTTTTGGGGTTTAGGGGTTCGGGCATGGGACGTCCGATGACATCTTGCATAAACCCCTAAACCCCTAAACCCCAAACCCAAACCCTAAAACCCTAAACCCTAAACCCAAAACCAAAAACCCTAAAACCCTAAACCCTAAACTCTAAAACCCTAAACCCTAAACGCCAAAACCCCCTAAAACCCCTAAAACCCCCCAAAAGCAAAGCCTCGTCGGGTCCAGGGCTGCCCGGGCCCGCGGCAGTTCAGGCAGACCCGTCCAGGCGCCGAAGGCCTCAAAAGTTCGGGGCTCCTTTAAGGGCTTTGTTTTTTTTTTGGTTTTAGGGTTTAGGGTTTAGGGTTTAGGGTTTAGGGTTTAGGGTTTAGGGTTTAGGGTTTAGGGTTTAGGGTTTTAGGTGTAGGGTTTAGGATGAAGGGCTTAGGATTAAGGGCTTTAGGTTTAGGGCTTAGGGCTTAGGGCTTAGGGCTTAGGGCTTAGGGCTTAGGGTTTAGGGTTTAGGGCTTTGGGCTTTGGGTTTTGGGCGTTTGGGGTTTAGAGTTTACGGTTTAGGGTTTTGGGTTCCTTTATTGGCTCTTCTCGAGGGTCTTTGGCTGCCTTTATGGCTCTTTAGGCTTTAAGGGCTGTAGGGCCTTCAGGGGCATAGGGGCTTCGAGGTTTTTATGCGTCTTGCGGCTTCGAATTTGGGGCCCTAGGGATCAGGAGACGAGCTGCCAGCAAGTTGCTATCACTGGCGCCCTACCTTCCCACGGCTAAGACCTACCAGTCACTGGCATGAATCACTTGCCCTTGCCCTTGGCCCCTGAACCCTAAACCCTAGACCCTAAACCCTAAGTCTTGCCTTGAGTCTTTGCCAGTGGACTCACTGGGCCAGCCGGCCTTGCCGCTGTCCTTGTCGCCCTTCAGCCGCTTCAACTCCGCATTTTCAGAGAGAGAGAGAGAGAGGGAAGAAAACAATTCCGGGTTTCCTGATTAGCTGCTGCGGAGTCGTAGGGTTCTCAGGCCCTTAGGAATTTGGGCCTTCGGGGTGCACTGTTCAAGCTTGTCTAATTGATAAGACTTGGCAGAAGTAGGGGTGAGGAAACGGCGATGTCGCTGTCAGCAAAGCCTCCGGCTCCCTTCTTCGTCGCCCAGACTGCCAAGCATGGGTCTGCATCTTGACGTAATGTAAGGGCCTTTATACCAAGCATAGGGTTTTGGGGTATATTATGCTTCATAATTGTAATAGTTATAATAGGGAACCCTGAGAAAAGTATTGGTAGTTATAAAGGCCCCCATATTATTGCGGAAACATTGTCTCTGTCTAACCCATCGACACGTGCCATTGCTGTTGCCACGGTGTCGGGGTGGAGGTCACAGTCTTCTGGCATCTCACCCTTTTACACCCCCAATTTATAGTCCCAAACGGTCCAAGTCGATTATGATTTGGGAAAGTCTCCCACATAACGGTACCTAGGACCCTTTGGGAGTGTCTATAGCTTCTAGCTGTTGAACCATAAACCGTAGCAAGCCCTGAAGAAAACCACCAGCCCTAGAGCTCTTGACCCAAAATCCGAAACCATGAAGGTTTAGGGTTTAGGGTTTAGGGAACCACATATACCCAAAACACTCAAATCAAAAAACGAAACCCACAGGACAATTCCAAAACCCGTAAATGAAACCTTAATCTAGAAGAAATTAAATGACAATAGTAATAACAACCACAATAATTACGACAGCAGCAACACCGCTCATCGTCATAATAGCTATATACAGACAGACGCAAACATAAAAACTCTGGTTGTAATGATTGAGATACTCATGGTTTTGTCTAGAAACCCCTAGTATTACCTGTGGCCCAAAAGACCTACCTTTTCAAGCAACTACAGTTACCATTGGTCTTAATATCGATTGGGTTTCCTCGACAAGCCATGTCCCATTAAGATTAATAGTCACTATAACTATAGCAAACCCGAAAAATTAATGTAGGGGCTTCAATAATTGCCTATATATATATATATATATATCATTTTAGGGGCTCCTTATTATAATTCTAATATGGTGGGCCCCAAAACACTATTCTAATTATTATAAGAACCCTATATTAAGCATCAGAGGATTTTCATAGAAACCCTCTCTGCAAAACCATGCGTATCCCATTAAGATTAATAGTAGTTTTTGTAAACCCTAAACCCTAAACCCAAAACCATCTTACTAAGACTGATAGTAACTATAGTATTACCTTAAGAACCCAAAACCCACTTTTTTGTAGGTTCTTATTATAAGCCCTAATATGGGATTTATAGGGACCCTACAAAAAAGTAGGCTTTGGGTTCTTCAGGTAAGCATCACCTAAACCCTAAACCCTAAACCCTAATCCCTAAACCCTAAACCCTAAACCCTAAACCCTAAACCCTAAACCCTAAACCCCTCCGACCGTGTGGGTCTCCGGCCCCAGAGTCAACGCGTCGCTCGGACTCCGCAAACTCCTTGGACGCAGGTCGCATGGCACTGGGGCTTAACCTAGGGTTTAGGGGTTCGGGTTTAGGGTTTAGGGTTTAGGGTTTAGGGTTTAACCTAGGGTTTAGGGGTTCGGGTTTAGGGTTTAGGGTTTAGGGTTTAGGGTTTAGGGTTTAGGGGTTCGGGTTTAGGGTTTAGGGTTTAGGTATACATATGCATGTATGTGTCTGTGTATACATATACAATATAGGGAGGGAGAAAGACAAGGAGAGAGAGAGAGAGGGAGAGAGAGAGAGAAGAGAGGGGGAGAGAGACGGAGAGAGTTTAGGGCCATCGGGTCGTTTAGGGTACATAAACACACACACACACACACTCACACACACCTGCATGTCGTCCTGTTCGTCATGCGTGTACGTATACCTGTGCAATTATGTGGTATTCTGTTCTTTGTTTTGGGGGACTAGCTTTTGTTTTACTCAAGGTTGGACCTTACATTATTGTTTTTTGACGGGGTGGCTGAGGGTTACGTCCACAAAGGTACATATATACAAACATATGTAGAACATAATATAATTATCATACCTCTAAGTCCATAATGTAGTGGTACATTTATGGGAAGGGGCGCTCGACCAAAAGCACAGCGCCCCCGAGCGTCGCTGGCAAAGAGGGTCAGCTGCAAGAGCTCGTCCCCCGCAGAGGCCAACTGCGAAAGTCTGGCCTGGAGCAGCCAAACCCCAAACCCTAAACCCCTAAACCCCTAAACCCTAAACCCTAAACCCTAAACCCTAAACCCTAAACCCTAAACCCTAAACCCTAAACCCTAAGTGGGGTTCGGGATTTAGGACTATAGGGCTTTAGGGCTCTATAGACCCAAACAGAGGCGTCGTTTTGGGGAGGGTTTCGGGGTTAGGGGGTTTAGGGGTTTTGGGGTTTAGATGGGTTTAGGACTCGGGAGCTAGGTCTGAGGGGTCCACAGTCGCGCCTTGGGATTTCTAGGGTTCAGAGGAGGCTCGAGGATTTGGGGTTTAGGGTTTCGAGTCTGTGCAGCTTAGGCTTGGGGCTCTGGGGCTTATTTAGGCCGTCGGATTTCTCCTGTACTGTACAAACCCTAAACCCTAAACCCTAAACCCTAAACCCTAAACCCTAAACCCTAAACCCTAAACCTAGTACTTTGCCTGCGCGGGCTTAAAACCAGGAGCTTCTCCCCTAAACCCTCGTCCCTCCACACTGCCGCACATGCCACTCCTGGTAGGCTTTGGGGATGCTTGGGGTTTAGGGCTTAGGGTTGTAGGGTTCAGGGATTTGGGATGTTTAGTCTGGCCCGATTTCACAAGAGCATCTTGCAAGGAGCGGTTTCTCCGAGGGCTACTGGGCTGAATGGGTGCAGGATCTGACGAAGTGGCTTCGGCGTTCGGGGGTTCCGATGTTTCAAAGCCCTTCGGAGAACCCGAAGCACTCTGAATGAATGTGTGGATGCATTTATTCTTTATCCCTTACAGTTACAGCAAGGTTTTGGAGCATATTGTACTCTAGCTATAGTCGAAGGAAATCAAAAGGGATAGTACCTATAGTCTCCATTGTAGTTTCTTTTTTGTGTTACCCAAATAGATATTAACGATTTTATAAGGTATCCCCAAAACAGAACTAATTACAATGGAGACTATAGGTAATACCGGTTAGGCAGACCCCTACACCCCCGAATGCTCCAAACCTAACACTCTTTGCCTTGAACGTGATCTGGTAGGTCCGGTCGTTCTCCATCGTGGCATTGCCTTGAAACCTTCATGTTAAGCTCTGGCTAGGTGCGGGCTAGCCAAAATTACAATGCTGTTTCCAGGGCCCCTAGACCCTAACCCCTAAACCCTTAACCCTAACCCCTAAACCCTAAACCCTAGACCCTGAACCCTAAACCCTAAATTGTTGTCAAGCCAGGTTGACCCGGCTTATGAACCGGAGAGCTTCCAAGATCATTTGTTGGGAGCTTACAAGGTCCTCTTGGTCGAGGGACAGCCTGGGAGCGGCAAAATCCAGATGCTCACCTAGACTTCGAAGTAACCAGGGAGAAAAAAGTATAGACTCAAATTTCATAATGGTTCCCTTAAGGAACAGGTCCCAAAAAAAGTATTCAAGTATGGTGAACCCAGGCACTATGATCCTCACTAGAATGAATGACCACAAAAGAAAGTGCATAAAACCCTGATAAGAACCATACAAGACGCATGTAAAACATGCTGTGAGGCCCTTCTAAACTTGAAAGCCCCTACCAAGGCTTTTTCCTTCTTGTGAACCCTGCGATGCCCTGATAAAACCCCAAACGGCGGACGCAAAAAGATGCCGGGGCAACTAGCCCGGCCATCTGCAATGCTGCACAAGCTCAGGGTTTGGGGTGTGCAGGGCTTACGGTTTTGGGTTTAAGGGCGTTGGGTCTAGAGAGAGTTGATAGACTTACAGGCTTCTGGGTGTTGCGCGTGAAACCAAAATCCCCCAACCCCCTGAACCCTCAACGCCAGGCTGCTGCATATCCAGCCGTGCTCCCACCGCACCAGCTTCGCCAAGAGCCAAGTCCTACTTTCGCAGTGGATAGTGAGGGTTTAGGGTTTAGGGGTTTATAGGGGTCTTTCAACTTTGGATTTGCTGTTATCAAACATCCGCTGGTTGTTGTGGTGGTGCGGTTTCTCACGGGCCGCCCTCTCGATGCTGTGGGCTTACTGACATAGGGGTGACACTTAGGGCTTGGGGTTTAGGGTTCAGAACCTAGGCTTAGGGCTTAGAGTCCAAGCGTTCGGGTTTGCTAGGCTATTTGGGCCTTGATGATTGAATGCCTGAACCTCTAGGGCTTAGGCTTGCGACCTGGAAAACTAAACCCTGAACCCTAAACCCTCAGCCCTACTCATTGGCACCCAGGGTTTCGGAGTAGAGTCTAGGTAGGGTTCTCATCGAGGCGGTCCTGATCACGGCTTCGGAATTTGAACGTCGCCTTCCCTATTCAGGTTTAGGGGTTTAGGGGTTCAGGGGGTTTAGGGGGTTTAGGGGTTTAAGGGTTTAGGGTCGAGCAACCCTTGAAACCTAGACTCTAAAACCATACACGTGAAGTCTTCAACGGTTTAAATAAAAAAGACTTGGTGACTTCCAGCATGCTGCATGAGTCCCGAGCCCAGGACTTATACCCTGAATCTGCACCCTGAATCATCTACAAAGCCCCCAAATGCACCACTCAGACCGTGAATGGCCAGACACCCTTATGCCTGGAATCTCCAACTTGCAAGAACCCCAAGGCGTAAACTCTCGAACCTTGAACCGTGGGCATTCTACATAATATAGGGGCCTTAATCATTAGAGTAGGGTTTGGGGTAGGCTATTATGATTGTCATGAAGAACCCCAAAATCGTATTGGTAATCATTTAGGCCCCTATAGTACCTTCTATCCCGACCAAATAGCACCACCGGTGCCTGTGAGTCTTGCCAGTGACAGAGAGTTGGTGGAGGGAAGCCTCCACCACTTGGATATTCAGGCGAACTAGGGACGGGACAGAACCGCGACAGTTACCCCTTTCACCCTGAACCCTGAACCCTTGCGAACCCTAAAACCCTAAACCCTCATAAACCCTAAAACCCTGAACCCTTATAAGCCCTTAAAAACCCTAAACCCCAAACCCTAAACCCTTATAACCCTCAAAACATCTTAAAACCCTAAACCCTGAACGCTTATAATGCGCAACAACAAAAATCCAGGGGACTTTGCTCCGACGTGTTGTCTAAATCCGAGGCAGGTCCGGGTGACGTAGGGGCCTTAATAGTTAGACTGGGGTTTGTGGTTCCATTATACTACAGTAAAGAACCCCAAAATAGTATAGGTAATTGTTTAGGGCCCTATAGTAGGCCGCCCATTTTACATCTTGTTTGGGCGAATCATTCAAGAATGCTGCTGCTACTGGGTAGCTTTCTAAATTAATGCCCCCTTTTGAGTGTCCTTTTTAGTACAAGGGTGCCATACTATATTGGGGGCCCAAAGAGGGGACCCTGATGTAGAAAACTACCCTACTGATCATTCATGTGCGCATATTCTTGACGCAGGCATTGATTCTGCCCCTGAGCCCAAAGCTGTGAATAGATGCATCACAGATTGCAGCAACGGTTTATGATCGCATAGATTGACGTTTGGAGCCTCAACGAACTGCAACATAGGCATTCTGCCAAGGTCCTGACGCCAGTCCTGCTACATTGATTCGTAACCACTCCAACCTAGGCTTACTTGGAGGTTCATGGGTAGTTATAAGTAGGGTTATAAGTCCCTTAATATGGGTTATAAGTATAGTTACCCTGCTTAGGACCCCTGTATAACCACCCATGAACCTCCAAATAATGCCCTCTGAGCACGAATGCCAAAGCCCCCAAACATCGGCCCCGAAGCCCAGAAGCGACTGTACATCCCGCTTAGAGGCACCAAAGATCCGATAGAAAACTGAACCGCCAAACCAAACGACTCACAACGCAGAACACCGCCGAGGATCTCCCTAAACCCTAAACCCTAAACCCTAGAACAATATCCGGCCTTCGGGGGCATCTGATGTCGCATCTAAAACCACCGAGCCGCAGCCGATGGCGGCGCTGCGGCTGAGGAAATCTAACGCAGCTCCTGGTTGGGCTGGGGATCCGTTGACTAGGTTCCCCAGTGGCCCCTTAATAATAAGGGTACCCTTTTTCCTACTATTTGGTTTTAATAAGGGAACCCAAAAAGAAAAGGGCAAAAGGGCACTACTGGGGATCCGTTGAATGAAGATGCTACAGTCGTTACGTTTCTGGCTTCTCGAGTTGGGAGGATTGGTTACAGGGTGTTAGGATTCAGCCTTTAGCATCGGAAGTGTGGAAGTCTAGATGTAGGACTTGTAGAGCAAAAACAGTTCCATATCAGCAACCAGTATCCTCTGCTACGGCGGCCTGATGCAGATTCTGACTGTTTCCTGGCTGCAGGAACCAGGCTCCGGTCCCGTAGGCTTTTCAGACATGACACCACCATAGGAGCCTCAAGAGAGGTGATGCAGTTCTCTCATCAGCTCTGTACCGACCGCATCGAGTCCAGCCATTAACCTGAACCCGAAATGAAATGCCGAGCCTTAGCCCAAGCCTGAAACCGTCCAAAGTTATCGCATGTTATCGCTTATACATATATATATATGTATAAATAGTATATGTAAATATCCCAAGAGCGCGCGGCTGCCCTCGGGGCGAGACGCCGTGCTAGAGCCGCATTGAGCAGCCGCAGCTCCGCACTTTTCGCCCACCCAAGGGCCCGATCAGATCAACTATCTGACATCAGTGGGGGTTGGTGTCGACAGTTGTGCTTCGACTACTTAAATCAAGAAAGAAAAGCATCGAGGCATTGTTCCGTGTATTTTTTGTGTTTGTTACCGTACGTGTCAGTACCTGCATGGCAATGATCTCGGGGCTCTCCATGGAGACCATCTGTTTGCAGGATTCTGCAGGATGTACTAAGACTAGCCCGCGAAAGCAACTGCTGGTAGAGGTGGCCATGCTTCTCGAGCAGGCCCATCATCTTCGAAACTTTCGTGTTGATGGCAGTCTTGTCATCTTTCAAAGAGCAAAGCTCAGCACAAAAGCCGGTGGTGCTACAAGGAGACAAAACGGGTTGTCGGGGTTTGTTTGGAGTGGCGGGCAGCCCGCTATACATTTACTACATTTACAAATATATATATATATATATGTATGTATGTATGTATGTATGTATGTATGTATGTATGTGTATATATATATATATATACATATATGTGTATACTTTTACAGATACATATATACATATGTAGATATGTGTATATATATATATATGTATGTGTGTATATATATATATACTGTGTATATGTATACCGATATACATACATTTTTATACACACACATACCGACATACATACATACGTACATACATACTTACTTACTTACATGTATGCATACATAAATGCATACATGCATACATGCATACATACATACATACATACATACATACATACATACATACATACATATTTCTGGATGTGTATGTTGTATATATATAAATATATGTCTGTATATAGTTTTATACATACATGTATTGTACATATATACTTTACATATGTACGTACAGATACCTATGCATACAGATACCTATGCATGCGTTTACACGTATATGCATATTTCCCCTCTTTAGTTGCACTCATCTTTTATTACCTCCAAAGGCTTTCAAACCCTCAACTCAAACAGTACCTATAGTCTCCATTGTAGTTCCTTTCTTTGGTTTACCCCAGTATATATTAACGAGTTCATACGGTATCCCCAACAAGGAACTACAATGGAGACCATAGGTAGAACACGTCCTGTGGTGCGGCGAAGTGCGATGAGCCTCAGCAGCTTAGAGTCGCAGTTTCCGAATTCTAGGACTCAGGGAACCGGGGCGCTTAGACTCTAATCTAGGAGCCTTAATGATTAGAATAGGGTTTTGGGGTATATTATACTATAGTTAGGAACCCCCAGAATAGTATAGGTAATAATTATTCAGGCCCCTATATTACATGGATTTTGCCGTTTAGTAAATGTTAGTATTCAGGGTCTTGGGGGCTGCGGGCTTCCCCAACTTGTGTCTTTGACTTGAGGATGTCTTGTAGGACTTAACATGGCGGGCCTCAATCATCAGAACGGGGTATTGTATTCGTGTCGACTATATGGATCATAAGGCCTAAGGGGATATCACTGCCAATTTCTGCCAACGCACCTCGGCTGAGTAGGGGGGCTCAAGCGACGACTTGAAGTCCCTCCTTGTACTCTTGCAATAGTTGTTGAGGGTTTAGGGTTTAGGGTTTAGGGTTTAGGGTGAAACCTTAGCATAAGAAAACTATGACCGTTTGCTGAGACCGAAACGCTCAAGCTTACGGTGATTGAATGACTGCTCTGTTGCTGACTGCTGCGTGAGCTCCCTGAAATTTCAAGTCTAACCTGTTCCTCTTGCTCTTAGTTCACGAGGCCGCAACTCCGGGCCTCTGTCGCCTCTTGAGTATTTCTGAAACCAGTGTGATTGCGAATCAAATTCTTCTTGATTGCTGTAAGCTTCTGATGCACTGCACCCGCCCAAAGCCTGCCCTCTGCAACCCCACACTGCTCCGACAAGCAACCGCTTGTTCTCATTCGTTGCCCCGCTAGCCCCAAACCACAAACCCTAATAACCCCTAAACCTGACACCCTAACCGACCCACACTCTCACAGCCGCGACACAGCGGGCGCAGAAGACGCAGCCGCAGCATTTGCGGCCAAGGGGCACCTGCCTCCGAGGTTAATGCAGGGGCCTGAATAATTAGAATAGGGTTTTGGGGTATATTATACAGTATAATAACCAGGAACCCCGTACAGTCTTGGGATATATTATACATTATAGTAATTAAGGAACCCCCAAAATGGTATAGGCAATTATTAAGGCCCCTCTATTAAGGGTCAGACTCGGGATTTCTATCTTGCTAGCGCCCTCTCAGGGTCTACATTGGAGCGTTAGGGTTGAAAAACCCAGGGTGGTGAAGACGCTTAAGGTTTAGGGTTTAGGGTTTGGGGTTTAGCTTTTAGGGTTTAGGGTTTAGGGTTTAGGCTTCCAGATAAACACCAGACTACCCTGACTAGTACACCGTCACGACTCTGCAGCATTCTGAAGCAAAACCGGCATTTTGGGCAGGGATCCGAATGTTGAGGTGGAACAGAAAGCGGCCTGAAGCCACGGCGCATCTGCCTCCGAAGGTGTCCTCTGAGGTTTGGTTTGCGAGGCATTTATAGACCCATATGGGAAATAATGCGCTTTCTACATGGGTCTTGATATTAAGATCCGCCTTGCACAGCGGTCCGGATTAAGGGGCTTATTTATCCGGGGTCAATCTATATACCCCGACACCGAACCGAAAAGCACCAGGAATGCCGAAAATCTCTCTTGGAATCATGCATATAAAGAAGAGAGATAAGACCTGGTTCCAAATGCTGAAAATGATCTAGATGAAACGTGGAACACACTACAAAACGAGAGCAAGAGAAGGCCTCCCCACTGTGATGTTCCTTCCACAGGTTCGGGGGTCGGGTCTTTTTCGGAGATCAAGTGTTAGGACATCCCGAAACCCTAAAGCCTAACCCCGGAAACCCCAGAAGCCCTAAACTAAAACCCCTACACCATCAGGAAAAACTGACGCTTAACGTCCCCAAGGCCCACAAACTAAACGCGAAACCCTAAACCCGAGACCCTAAACCCTAAACCCTAGACCCTAGACCCTAGACCCTAAACCCATAAAGGCCCGAAGGCCCTGAGAGGCCGACACCGACAAGGCCGACACAACGACTTAGCCTGACAGACCCTCTAAGAGCCCTTGGCGGTGGTGAGGTTTAGGGTTTAGGGTTTTTAGGGTTTAGGGTTTAGGGTTTAGGGTTTAGGGTTTAGGGGCTAATATAGCGGCCTACAAGATTATGCGGGCTCCTTAGTAAAAGTTATACTACTAGAATCTACCCCAAAGCCCTATTCTAATCATTAAGGCCCCGACATTAGACGATCCAACTTCTGGAAAGAAAGCCGAAAGTTGAAGAAACAGCAGTCAGAGCAGCCTGAAAGTGCAGCTCTTAACGGCTTCAGGGTTTACGGTTTAGGGTTTAGGGTTTAGGGTTCAGGCTCAGGAACCGAAAGGGAATCCCAAACAAAAGCCGGCAGAGCCCAGCCCAGGTTCCGGAAGGAGAGCACCAACTCAGATGTGGTTGGCGCCCGGAGGCAGCTCGAAAGCGTCGCATCCCTGGACATGGGGAAATTATAGAACATAGTACCAGGCTGAAAGACTAAGCAATGTTGCAAAATAGATAAGCTGAGGCTTCAGATGTTTGGTCCTGGGACGGGAATTTGAAGCCTAGGGCTTTGGACCACTTGGGAATTTCGAGTGCAGGGCTGAGTTTTTTTGAAACATTTCAAGCCAGTGATGTAGCTGCTGGCAAACGGGGACGCAGCAAATGCACGCTGTCTCAGGTGGCCTTTTCCCGCGCAAACCCTAAACCCTAAACCGTCCCTAAACCCTAAACCCCAAGCCTAAACCCCAAACCCTAA